ACTGTCTGTCTGGGGGGGGGGTCGGGTCTCTTAAAGCACAGCCCTCGGCTAGCCTGAGACAGCAGCTCCACGGTCTAAGTCCTACTCTGATGCCCTGCCGGCACTGCTTCTGGCCATCCTTAACCTCTCGTCAGGATCCACTCTTTGTGGACATTGCAAACACCACTCCTGCAGCTCCCATTGATCCGTAGCAGGGAACAGGGGCCAATAGGAGCTGTGTGCTCAGTACCTGTAGATGAGGAGCAGCACATAGTGCCATGGAGCTATTGCTGTACATGCCAGCTACTTTCAGGAGTGGTGCAGGGCCAGGGCAGGAGTAAGCCTGTCTTAACTCCACTGCTCCACCGCCCGGAATCCATATCAGTTAAACTGTGCCCAGCCAGAGCCTGCTTTCTGAACCTCTGTCCCAGCCCTGAACCTCCTCCTGCACCCAACCTCCTGCCCCAGATGTGAATCCCCCTGCATCCAAACTCCTTCCCAGAGTTTACACCCTGAAACCCCTCCTGAACCCCAATCTCCCACCCTTGGCTAAGCCCAGAGCCCCTCCCACACTCCAAACTCCTTGGCCCAAAACCAGAGCCTGCACCCTAACTCCCTACCCCAGCCTGGTGAAAGAGAATGAGGTTCGGGCAGGAAGAGGATGTAGTGAGCAGGGTGAAGCCTCCAAGAAGGGGTGGAGTAGGGGCAGGGCTTCAAAGAAGGGGCGGGAAGGAAGAGGTGGAAGGGTATTTGAGTTTGAGGTAGATCTTACATTGCACTTAAATTGAAAAAGTCATCTTGTGGTCAAAAAGGTTGGACACCAGTGCCTTAGGAAGTGGCCAAGCCCCTTCATCAAATGTAACTCTTCCCTAGTGGCTTTCTTTCTGACTGCCCTTTGGCTAATGAAACAGGTTCAAAGTGAGAATGTGTTTTGTTTACTTTAGGTGCTAGATGCTCAGATGAAAAAAGATCTTGTTGATAAGGAAGTGCTTGAGAATATGCTGCGAAGACATGAACAAGAAGCACGTGAGAAATGCAAAATTCTGGCTGATCAGAAGGCGGTAGGTGTAAATCAGAAACTGAATACTTTTAAGAGCAAGGGCACCATTTCAGGAGTCTGTGGGGGGGCAGCAGCCATGGGCTCTGGGACGTGGCTAGCTTTTCATCCTGTTCCCTGGGAGCTAATGGAGTGAGGGGAAAGTGCTTGCATTCCGTGCTTGCCCCTCACACCTGGCTAGTGAAGGGAGCTCACCAGCCAGGTGTGTGATGCGTGCACAGAATGCAACTACTTTACCCTCACTCCCTTAGCGTCCGGGCAACAGGATGAAAAGCTAGCCATGGCTACAGCCCCAGTATGCGCCCGAAATGGCGCCCTTGTATAAGAGTAGTCATTTTAAGTCTCTTACCCAGAGATGTTTCTAAAATAAAGATCTGTTGTTGCTGGAGGCTTTTGGGGGTATATGGAGAGGGTGTGTGTTTGTGTGGAGGGTTTTCTTTTGTTTGTTTGTTAGCTGTTCTTTTAATTCATGATATCGTCAAGAAAGTCATCCATGCCGCGTATGTTACTTCCTGGCAGTCCAGTACATGGTAAACATAGGAGCTCCTTGCTCTTGATGTGGAAAAGACTGGAAAGCAATTATAAGTTGATGTAACATTTGAATACATGATTGCTTTTTTGTTTTCTTGTTCACTCCATCTGATACCTTGTTTCTAGAAGTGATTTTTTAAAATGCCCCCTTGCTGTAGTCACTAACTTTTGTCTTATGATCTCAAAGGCAGACTGTTCTGTTTCAGATGATCAATGCCATGGATTCGAAGATTAGGTCATTGGAACAGAGAATAGTGGAATTGTCTGAGGCTAATAAGCTGGCAGCAAATAGCAGTCTTTTTACACAGAGAAACATGTAAGTAAAGGAACTGCTACACCACTCATGTTACAAGCCCCTGTGCAAGCTCAGTAAGACCTATTCTCCAAACGTATTCTTTCTCTAACTGCAGTTTGCTCAATATTTTGTTTCCCCTATCATAGCTGTGAAGATGTATTGGTTTGTATTGTTGCCTTGTCTTTGTTTGGATTGTTTCATGAGGCTTTTGCTGTGTCACTTAATAATAATAACAACAATTATTATGATTAATTTATTATTTTTGCTGCATGCAGTTTTTCAATATAAACATTTTGTGGAAAAAATTCAGATATTTTTGAATGTCAAACATTTCCTGAGAAGCAGTAATTCCAGTTCTGGAGATATATATAAAAAATAGTATTCCTTTTGCTTCTGGTGTTTAGGACTTGATCACATCTGCTTCTTGTGGTCATTGCTCATTGAAACTCAAAGCCTTATAATTATTTCACGCTCCAATATGAGAAGAAAATATTAAATGCCCTTTCTTCACAAAGCTTCCATCTTGCTCCCAGCATCTAAAAAAAGTGGATACTGATTTAGGAATTTTCCTTCATGTTTTTAAACGTTGATTAAAATATGAGGTATTGAAGTTCTCTGCCTGTTTTGTTTTTTTAAAAAAAGAGGGACCTAGTCCTAAAATTAAAGTGGTTCTTTAATCCTGATTGCTTACTTTTGATCCTGAAAGTATTTGGGTACAGTATCACCCACAATGATATGGCAGCGTGTAATATGGTGTGACTCACTACTGGGGTGCCTCCTGCTGGTCGCTCTGGGAATTAGCTTCTTGGTGCTGGAGTGCCCCCTTCTGGTTGGTGTCTCCCCATGTCTCTGCACTCTGGGGTTCTCCCCCTCTGGGAACCCCCAACCCCCTATGCCCTCCTTGCCTCAGTGGCCCACTGCCAGTCTTCATCTAGCCCCTTACCTCAGCTTCCCTGGCAGCCAGGTCCCTCCTGCTCCCCAGCCAGAGCAAGAGTGTGTGTCACGGCTGTTCCCCACTCTGGCACTATGAATGCAGAAGTTGGGGGCCCGCAAGAGCCTCCAAAGCCTTGTCTCTATAGGCTCTGGTACAAAAACTTCCCCCCAGAATCCTAATATGCAGATTTTGGGGAACCTGCTGCCACCATCAAGTGCTTTTGATCCCCCCCAAAAAAACAAATGAGTGGACGGTTGAAACCAACCCCAGGGCACCCCAAGCTCTTTTTCCCCCCAAAAGAGCTTGAAAAAGAGAAGAGAAAAACAAGCTGCAGTCTCTGGTAGCTGGCCCCTCAGTCAGAGGCCTGCAGATACCCACAGACAGACCTTCCAGGACACAAGAATCAACCAATACCAGTTAATTAGAATTTAAAAAAATATTTTATCACCAAAACAAAGCTACAGTTGCAAGCATAGTAAATCAGCTAAATGGAAAGAGCCACCATTTGATATAGATGCTCAGGGAAAGTCCCTGGGCTGTAATCCTTCGTTACAAAAGAGAGAAACAATTAGCCAGCTCAGACATGATTTCCAAACCCCCAAACAAGGTAAACAATAAACCCTGACAGACTATCTAAACTTTTCCCTACTTACGCATTTTAACAAGTCCGTTCTTGGAGAGAGAAGCATCTCCCATCTCCCTCAATAGTTGTGAGAAACTACTCTGCCTCTCAAACATAGAAGAGAGATAAAAACCCCTCTTTGCCAGTTTGAAACCCTCCGGCTAGGTACCTGAGTTAACCCCTTAGTCACTGGGTGCTGGTCAGCACTCCTGTTTTTGACAGTGTGTCTCCCTTCCTTCCTCAGGGAGCCCTTATTTATACAGCCCCCAGCTGGGCCCTAATTGCCTGTATCTGCCTCAGCTGCGGGCTTTGCTCTCAGGTTTCTCCCAGGGCTGGGTTTTACCCTTAAAGGGCCAGTGCAGGGCAGATGCCCCATCACATAGCGGTTCTCAAACTTTTGGACTAATGATTCCTTTCATATAGCAAGCCTCTGAGTGTGACCCCCTTATAAATTAAAAACACTTTTTATATGTTTAATACCATTATAAACGTTGGATGCAAAGGGGCTTTAGGGTGGAGGCTGATAGTTTGTGACCCCCCATATAATAACATCTAGACTCCCTGAGGTGACCTAACCTCACCCCCAGCTGGAGAACTCCTGCTATAGGGTTTTAAACATCAGTTCATCTTCAGATTTTCCTTTTTTAGGGACCTTATTTTGTCCTCCATGGCAGCTCCTTCAGTGTTTTCAATTGAGACCTACAGGCCTCGTTAGTTGCTGCTGATGCTGTAGTGACTGGAGCTAAATCCTTATTTTAAAAAATGAATAATAAAATCCTGGCTCTCTTGTTACTATTTTCTTAAATCTCTGATTCCATCTCTGTGGTGGATAGGAGGAGTGCTGACCAGCACCTGGTGACTAAGGGGTTAAACTCAGGTAGCTAGCAAGGTTGTTGGCAGGGAGCCAGAAGAACCAATGGGGATACAGTGCTGAAATTTGAATTGTGAAGGATAAACTTAACTGTTGTCAGTATGACCCCTGCTGTGACCTGGCTGTTAAGTCTGGTCTTTGTAAAGAGGTACGTGCTTGAACACAGGTATACAAAAGGAGGGGACAGGTGAAACTGGTTTGAACCTGTTGTTACGGCTGCAAAAGGACTGTGAGGGGACAAATAATGATTGGAGGGAATTTGGTGCAAAGGGGCATGACCTGTATATGCATGCAATTGTAAGTGGTCAGTGAAAGAGGCGTAATTACCATGTAAGAAAGTACAAAAGACCTTGCCTTTTGTTTGGGCAGTTGCAGAAACTTTGCAGAAACTTTTTTTTTCCTGAGTATCCTGGAGATTTTTGCCCTGGAATGCATTCCTGAATAAAGCTGGTTGCTTAAGAAGGGTGTCTGGAATTGATTTGGTAGGGGGTTTGGGCCCCCATCCGAACCCTCTGATTAAATTCTCCGTCAATTGTATAAGGTACCTTGCCTGCTTTCTTTTTGTGGGGAAGTTAAGCCAGGAGTTGAGACACACAGAATGATTTAAATCCAGGCAGGACTACCATGCCTCAAAGGAATTCGGGGCATGGAAGTGGACTGAACCAACATGGGATTGTGAGTACATAAAGGGAAAAAAGTGACTCTAGTTGTGCTCAGGGTATTTTTCTTTAATTTGTGGTTTGGTTTGAACTGCTCTGTGTGAATCGATGCCTCCCCTCCCCTCCCCCCATTCACCATCTAAGAATTGTTCCCAGAGATTTTCTCTGTGTTTTAATTTTTTCTTAGTTGCTCTGTAACACCTAGCAGTCAAGTATGCTTTATTGAGTGTATCTTTTGTTTTGTAATAAAAATCACTATTTTAAGGTGATGATTTGATTCTTGTGTCCTGGAAGGTAACAGCAGGTCTGTCTGTGTGTCTGTCTGCATGCCTCAGACTAAGAGGCCATTTTTAAATCCCCCTTAGTTCGAACCAACTACACGCGGCAGTTTAAAGTTAATCCGAACTAAGTCCTTAGTTCAGATTAACTGTTACACCTCATTCCACGAGGAGTAACAGTTAATCCGAACTAAGGACTTAATTCGGATTAACTTTAAACTGCCGCATGTAGCCGCGGGCAGTTCATTCGAACTAAGGGGGATTTAAAAATGGCGGCCAGACGGGAACATACAAATAAAGCCCGGGATATTTAAATCCCGGGCTTCATTTGCAACTCCGGTTGCCTGATTTGCCTACCTAGCTCAAATTAACGAGCTAGTGTAGACATACCCTTGGAGTGCCAGAGTGGGGATCAGCCCTGACAGTCTCAGAATCAGATTTTGGTTCATATTTTTACTTAGATGCCTTGTTTTCCCTTAGGAAAAAAGAAGTGGTTTTAAGCTCTTTTAAAGTGATGCTCTTCTAATGAGAATTCTATTTTCATGTGTAGGAAAGAGATATACACTACTTAATATCCTGTAAGTAGGCAAAAATAAGGCTATTATGGCTGTCTGGAGAAATATGTGCAGACTATGAGTTGCGTATTGGAATACTGGGTAGCACCTCTGAGGATAGCAGTTGATTAGATCAATTTGTAAAAGCAAATGAAATCAAGCAAGGATGAATTTTGGCATAGAATCTCTTCAAACTCTTCTTTTAGCAGTGATTGACTGTACCAACAGAGATGTAAAATTAGGACATTTTATTAAATTTCTAACTCCTGTCAAGCTCTTCAACCTCAGCAGACCTAAATCTTCCATAAAAGTAACTGTTAAAGTTATATATGAGTTGCTTTATGCAGATGATTATAATCTTGTTATTCGCCCCCAGTTAATCATCCAACAAGTTTGCAGAGGCTGCTAAAATCATAACTTGTCATTAATTTGAAGAAAACAGATACGTGGGAAAACACATGTAAGACGCAACATCAGACAGTGGTCTTGAACTCAGTTGTAGTAATAAATTTTACTTCTCTTTCTGCTAACTAAAGAAATGTTTACCAGAATCCAAAAGGGGTATTTTACTGATTGAAATGTTAACTTTGGAACCAGCATGGCTGTCGTATATTAGATCAAAGTTTCATGTTCTCCATGCTGTAATGATTTCTTCCTTGCTCTATGCCTGGCTATGAAACACTTAGGGTATGTCTACACTACCCTCCTAGTTCGAACTAGCGGGGTAATGTAGGCATACCGCACTTGCAAATGAAGCCCGGGATTTGAATTTCCCGGGCTTCATTTGCATAAGCGGGGCGCCACCATTTTTAAAACCCCGCTTGTTCAAACCCCGTGCAGCGCGGCTACATGGGGCACGAACTAGGTAGTTCGAACTAGGCTTCCTAGTTCGAACTAGCGGGGTAGTGTAGACATACCCTTATAGACTAACACTTCAGTTAGTCTATAAGGTGCCACAGGACTCCTCGCCGCTTTTTTAGGACACTTTGGAACTCTTATGGGTATTACATCATAAATCAGACTGGTGGCTAGATGCTACAAGGATGGGCATTTTAATAGTTTAATAATATAATCTGCTACTGAAAGGACAGTTTAGCTGGACTAGATGCATTCTCTGGAAAGAGAACAGCAGACTAAAGTAAAAAAGCAGAGGAAGAAATATAATGATGACTAAAACAAAAGAATTCAACCCATTGTGACATACGTAAAATATCCACATGTTGGGTAGGGAGTAGCAAACAAATTGCTTTGGCAAGTCAGTAATAGGACAGGAAGTTTGGAGTGAGTCATGTTAGTCATTAGGGGTATGTCTACACTTGTAGCCTAATTCGAACTAGGGCTGCAAATGTAGGCATTCGGAATTGCAAATCAAGCCCGGGATTTAAATATCCCACGCTTGATTTGCATCTTCCCAGCCAGGCGCCATTTTTGAAATTTACAAGCCTGAAGTAACTGCCTGCGTCTACACGCAGCAGTGAAACGGGCATTCGAAATAAAGTCGTAGTTCGAACTACCTGTTATTCCTCCTGCAATGAGGTTTGACAGTTAGTTCGAACTAGGGCTTTATTTCGAACGCCCATTTCACTTCCGCGTGGAACGAGGTGTACAGCTAGTTCGGATTAGGAAGCCTAATCCGAACTAGCTAGTCCGTGCCGCGTGTAGA